CCGACTGTGAAGAGAATGTCGCAGCTAATGGGGGTGAGGATCTGCAACGAGTTGATCTTAGTATACCGGAGACTAGACTTGACAGATAGAATTCGTAGATTATGGGCATGGCTGAAATGAGGTTCAAGTAGTAGAGATTCTCTTTTCTTACTTGTGCGAAGAAGGCATTCTCCCAATACAATTGGTTGGTGCGGATGAGGGCCATGAGAAGCGGCGCAACTGTGCTCATTGCTGATGAGATCAATAGCATCCACAAGACGGGCATGCGGTGAACGAAGATGCCAGTTGCGATGCTTGTCAGTGCCCCGGCGGCGAGAGATGGAACGACTTGGACTGATGCCACCGTTGCTGACAAGCCCTGGACCTGCTGGAAGCTGGTTTACGTTACTCAAGAAGTCTGCCAAGCAGTGCCATTACGACTTACAACAAACTGCTGTAAAGCTCCATGCAGTTGGTGAGAGCGTTGGTAAGAAGTACCATGACGCAACAGCTGGTGAACACATAGCTGCCCCAAAGCGAGTTGGGAATCAAAGCTGTCTTGTTGTTCTTCACCCGATGGTGCATCCACCCGACAAATGAAGGAATAGAGCAACCAGCTACAGCCAGAAGCGCGATGCTAGATGGCTTACGGATGTTGTTGATGTCGGCTGACAATGATCTGTGCCAGGTTAACCATTTCGTTCACTGAGCTGTAAGTAGACCAGGTACTTACGCCAACACATACGACAAGGTCGCTAGGCCGGTGCTGACCAGAACTACTCCCACGGTGTCAATATCCTTGGCAAGTCGCTTCCAGATAGACTGGCCATTTCTCGCCTGAAGGTCGCGCGGCAAAGCCCACATGGCAACCAGAAACAGAGCCGCACTCGCAGCTGCAGCCAGGTAGAAAGCCGGTCGCCATCCAACATTATCAGTAAACACACCACCCAGTACCAGCCCAAACAAGAAACCCAGCGGCTGAGAAAAGCCCATGCATGCGAATCCCATATTGCGCGGCCGCCCTTCCTCCATATTGGTCGAGATGATGGAGATGGACGAAGGCGTGATAACAGCATACGCCACACCTTGAAGCGCCCGAAACGCAATGATCTGGCCACCCGTCTGCGCCAGACCGCACGCCATGGCAAATATGGCGCTGAAGAACGATCCCGTCAGGTTCACGCGCTTGTTCCCGACGACGTCGGCGATGGAGCCGGCGAGCAGGAGACACGATCCGGCCGTGAGGAAGTAACTGGAGCTAGGCCAGACGAGGAGACCTTCGTCCAGGCCTAGGTTGTGCTGCATGGCGGGCAGGGCGACGACGATGATGCCGTTGCAGAAGCTGCTGAAGAAGAGCTGGCCGCAGACTTGGGCGATGACGATGCCGGCTCGGGTTTTAGAGAGCAGGACGGGGGCGGTCGTTGCTGCTTCCCCTTCCGAGTCGGTGGTCATTAGCCCGCCGGGAGCTTGTTGGAAGTTTGATGGCGCGTCATGGCTTTTTCGTAGTAAGGTGACTGGTGTCGACGAAGCAGGCCCGAATGTCTGCAACTCCGTTGCGGTTTGCGTTGCCATGTTTGCTGTGGAGGTCGATGTTGATTGGTAGTTAAAGTTCAATACCTCTACAACACCTCAGGTGTATGAACGAGCTAAAGTTGAGCAGACTCGACGGAATTGAGATGAGAGCAAAGTACATGTACAAAGTCCCAAGATGCCGAGTGAGTCAAGAGCCCCGGCGAGCCTGGTACCAAAGTTCTTTTGCTGATAAGTTAAGTGAGACGCCGACCCTTAAGGGTTAGCACCGACAACTCAAAGGGCGCAAGTAATACCGGGGACCGTTGTCTAATTGGCTCAAAGGTCCACATACGTAATCAGGCGGGATTAATCGCGGAAAAGAACCTTTGATAAAGCTTTGTATGACTGAATCAATTTCCTTTACACCACCTTTTTTGCAATGTCAACAGGCGTTGTGGTAAGTCCGAGATATGAATTATTCACAACTATATCTATTCATGTTAGTTATGCTATACAATTGAGGTAGGATCGACTAAGCGCAGAGCTTTGATCTCTTGGTGGTTTACTAAACATGATGCTCGCCGCCCTCTATTACTTTCCCGACCTAATATGCAGAACCAATGCAACATAATCCTTTGCATCACATACATGTCTGAGGTGGCCTGAGAGAATTCCGTTCCCATCGACTCCGGCGGGAAACAAACAACCATCTCCCTCCTTCATAGATCCCGATCAAGCCTCCATCGAACAGTAAGAGTAATTGTATTTCCAATCCGACTACCCTGTCTCCAAGAAGAAATCGACGCAGCAGTAATAGTCGCAAGCTCCTCACATTCAACAGGGTCATATTCCAACTCATATGTCTTCATCTCACTTTAGTGAAACCACCAACTCATACTCTTCTACCGCTACTGGCATCCGTAGCTGTGGCCAAATATCGTCACATCACATGCAACTACCACGACTGTTTCGGCCAAATCACCTTTCAACACTTCTTAGATGACCGCTTCCAAGCTTGCGCCAACCTTTCTGGCACAATCGACGTTGTCTATGGGCCGGACATCCAGTGCAAAAACGTTCCTAATTGGGTTCCGGCACCGTCCTCAATTATCGTAGCCCGCGTTGAATTTTTATCTACTTGTTAAACCAATAGGCGCGTCAAGTGAGAATGGATGTTCTGTGACGCCTATCGAGGACTAGAAGTATGTTTTTGGCAAACAATTTCCGATGTAGCTGGTGTAAATATGATCGGGACGGCCTACGTCAAAGATAAGGAAACATCTAAAAGATAATTGCAATGAGGCTTAGGTTTCAGGTTTAGAAGAAAGCTGCGACACAAGCAACGTGGAAGTAGACCACAATCGAAGAGGAGAATTTATACAAATACAAGGCTACTAAAACATACTCTCATCATCACCCTCACAACTTCTCTTTAGAGTTGGCAATCTCAACCGCCTTCTCAAAATCCTTCAAAAACACCCACTTCCCACCCTCCTTCCACCCCTTCGCTCTCCACTCACTTCCATCCGCAGGATACACATCCACAACACCAACCAAACTACTATCATGCGACGCCACAACAAACACATCCGGACTCGCATCGAACCTCTGAATAGCACGCACCGTCTCCCTCGATGCCTCCAAATCCATGAATATCCCACCCTCAGGCAGCGCATGGAACGGGATCCCGTTCGCGTCGCTCCCCGCCTCCCCTAGGACCTTGTTGTAGGGCCCCAGGGCGGCAGAGTTCCCAGCCACGGGGTGGACTGCGTGGAACGCCCGTCCCGAACAGCAGCTGTGGCCCGGCAGCTGGATTTCCTCTGGTAGCGTCGCGCCGCCGTGCGGTCTCAGGACGGAGCTGTGGTGGAAGGAGTCGCCTGCAAAGTACATGAAACTATCCTTCGTTGTACGAGCCAGGGCGTTAATATGTCCGATGGCGTGGCCCGGCGCGGAGAGGAGGTAGAAACTCCCGTCGTTGAAGTAATCCAGTGCCTTGAGTCCACCGATTTCTATCTCGGTGGAAGTGAAGTTCAGTTCACGCACTTCGCGGCCCTCGAACTCGCGAGCGAGAACGGGCGCGTCTGGAATGGTTGGGTAGCCAGGGAAATACGCCTCCTTCACCCCCGGGCCAACGATCAGCGACACCGTGGAAGGGAAGAGTGACGGGCGGCCAATGTGATCCGGGTGTGCGTGACTATGCGCCATATCAGCCATCACATGCTCAAGTATCTTTTGTTGCGCACGAAAAAGCAAACATGGCTTACGTACCTCCAGAAGAGCGCCTCAATCTCCCCCAAATCAAGACCGCCCTCGGTCAAAATTTCGGAGACGTACTTTTGGGCAATCATCGTGCCGTCCAAGTTCTTCCCCATCTCCAAGACAGCTGGAGAGAAGTCATTGTCCCAGTCTTTCGGCAGGCCGAGATCGAAAACTACGCGTCTAGTCTTTCCAGCAGAGTCCTGGTGCGTCACTAGAAATGCGTAGCCTACGCCGTACCACCTCTCGAAGCCATTCATGGTAGGGCCCATGAAGGGCGCCGTGGGAAGGTCTCCATTGAGGGTTGTGTCGATGATGGAGACGGAGACCGTCGACTTTGAAGGAGGGATATTCAAGGCAGAAGTTGCAGACATGGTTGCGGATGGTTGTTGTTAGCTTAAAGACTCAAACAAGTATGATAGACACGATGTTTTGTGCTCATCGATGACGCCGGGCACATGGGACTTTTATATCAGTCTCACCAATCTCACCTCAAAGGCTCAGGCCCAAGCAAGCCAAGAAGCGCGGACGCGCGCCATAGCGGTCGTATTGCTCTTTGTCAGCCCTATTCAGGCATAGCATGCTCCCCGGGCCGAACGATATGCAGTCAACAGCAAGTGCCGGCGATGATTGATCCGAACTAGGCGGACGAACTCGGACAATAGCACAGGTACATGAACCACAGCCACGGAGACATGCGGGCTGACCAAGATGGCGGATCCGCGGATCATCCGCGGCTGATCATGGCATCCGCAATTCAAGCCCCAAAAGGGTCACCCGTATCCGTGGCGTCGATCCCGTCAATCGGATTCGAGAAAGGCAAATACCGCCAAAACTCCGTGGAAACAATCGGAGATCCCCCATGACTGCCCGGGCCAATTCACCTCGCCGGCCGTCAGCCACCGTTCCCAGTCGGGCCAACCCCGTGCCCGCTGACCGGTGACTGGTCGGGTCCACCTCCGCGGGTACCGGTGTGACAGTACCTGGGCTCTCGAAGTAAGAGCACTTGTCCACCCTTCCACTGGTGGTTTATCCTTTTCTTATTTACGAAATCACACAGCAATCGTATGAAAGCCTTTATCACAAGGACCAGTTATTTTCCGCATGATCCTCCGAGCGGATCTGGAGATCTAAGATGTTCACGTATAATGTCACATGTGTAGGCTCTAATCCACCACCGCTTGTACTCAGATGCGGATTAATGTGCACTCACTTTGGACAGACAAAGATTGTTTCAAGATCGTTATTATTCTAGCCTATCAAAATCAGGACGGTCTATCGATCCATCGTGATGCTAATTCTTAGTACCGTGTAAAAGCCCTCTCAAGGGTGCAATACAATCATCCTCCACCTGGAACACGGCCTGTCTCTTTCCTCTTCTGACTAGGCCGTCAAATCATGGATTTTGCACTATGCGACAAATCCTCTTCGTGACAGTGGTATCATTAACTCTTTGCGAATCAAATCACAGAAAAACAATAAAATAGGGCTATGCCGTTCAGCACTCGCCGCCCGCCATGCGCGCCTTCTCGTCATTGCTGTTGCTCGGGGAAGCATCAGCAGTGTGGGTATCGCCCGAGAGGTTGGTGTTGGTGCGGTGCTGAGAGCGGCTACGGCGGCCCGTCGACTCGCCAGTATCCTTGCGGCCGAAAGAGTGCCAACTCTTGAAAGAACTGAAGGTGATGGTCTTCTTGAAGTCGCGGCCCTCGTCTTCGCCACCCTGGCTGAATGCGCCGCGAACGACCTGGTGGTCGTCGAGGAGGTTGAAGGTGCGCTTGACGAACTTCCAAGCCTCGACGCCAACGACGTACAGGAGAGTGAATCCGACGACAATGCCCCACTCCCAAGTGATGCCGATGTGCTTGAACAGTGTGGTGTTGAGGGTCGGAATGTAGATGACGGGGAACACAGACAGGGCACCGATGATGACGGCCCAGAACAAGAACTTGTTGCCGTAAATGTCCTTGAAGAAGGGGAACTTGCTCTTGCTGTCGGGGTTGAGACGGAACATGGAGCGGCGAAGGTTCTTGAACTCCCAGGCGGAGATGAGAATGATCCAGGTGAGCTCGGCAAAGACAGCGGCGCGGGCGCGGAAGACGGGTCTGCAAGCCTCGGTGAAGGTCTTGTTGCACTCGGAACCCAGGTTTCCGCCGTTGGCTCCGTAAACAACAATGATGAAAGTGGCCAAGGTCAAGGCGCCCATGATGATACCGTACACAATCATGTCAATGATGATTTGGTTGGTGAAGACACCGCGCTTCTTGTTCTGAGGGGGCTTGCGCATAACGTCGGAAGCAGCCTGCTCACGACCCAGACCAAAGGCGGGGAAGGATGAGGTAACCATGTTGATCCAGAGAATCTCAAGAGGAGAAATTGGGAAGACGGACAGATCGGCACCGTCGCGGAAAGCAAGACCGCAGCACAGAAGAATAACCTCACCAACGTTGGAGCTGAGGAGATGGAGAATGAACTTCTGGATGTTGTCAAACATGCGGCGACCCTGGCGAATGGCGGAAACGATGGAGTTGAACTTGTCATCAGTAAGCACAATCTTGGAAGCGGACTTGGCAACATCAGAACCAGAGCCCATGGCAATGCCGACATCGGCACGAGCCAAGGAAGGAGCATCGTTGACACCATCACCAGTCATGGCCATGAAGGCGTTGCGGCGACGGAGGGCGTCGATCATGCGAGTCTTGGTATCGGGAGCACAACGGGCAATGACCAGAGGCAGCTCGGGCATGGCATCAATCTCGGCATCAGTCATCTTGTCGAAATCCGTGGCCTTCTGCACAACCGCTTTGGCTACTTCGTCGGGGAGAACACCCAGGTTCTTGGGGATGATGCCGACTTCCTTAGCGATAGCCTTGGCTGTCTCGGGGTGGTCGCCCGTAAGCATGTGGACCTTGATACCGGCAGATGAACATTCGGCGATGGATGGCTTAGTCTCGCGGCGGGGAGGGTCGTAGATACCAGCGAGACCTAGGAGAGTGAGACCCTGCTCAACTTCGGTACGCAGAGCATCTTCCTTCTCCTGGGCGACGTCAGCCTGCTTGGTGGTAAACTTTCCATTCCAGTCGCGGCAGCCGATGGCGAGGACTCGCTGGCCTTGGGAGGCCAACTCGTTCATCTGGCTGAGAACGTCCTCTTTCAAGGCGTCGGTGAGCTCCTGTCTGTCCTCGCCGAACCCGATGTGGGTGCAAAGATCCAGGATGCGCTCGACAGCACCCTTGGTGAAGACCAGACTGTTCTCGGGACTCCAGATATCGGCAGTCTCGTCGTTCTCGGGGATGTCGTAAATGACAGACATACGCTTGATGGAGCTGTCGAAGGGGAATTCAGCAAGTTGTTTCCAGCCAAGGCCCTCGAGGGACTTCTTTCCAAGCTTGAAGCGGTGTGAAAAGATTTGAAGAGCAATCTCTGTGGGTTCGCCAGTGGTTTGCCACTTGGCTTCTTCCTCGTCGTATCGGACAGTGGCCAGGTTGCAGAGAGCGGAAGACAGGAGGAAGGCCTTGAGGCGCGGGGTCATCTCGGCCTCATTCTCGGCCTCGGGCGCCTTCGCAGGCTGCTTGTTCTGAAGCTTCTCCTCGGGGACATCGAACTTGAGAACAGCGGCAGATCGCTCCTGATCGTAGTCGCGCTTGGGGGGCTCATCGACGACCTTCTCCTGCTCCTTGGACTCTGAGTGGGTGACGCGACCCTTGGTCGGGTCATTGGGGCTTTGCGAGTCTCGGACTGTGTAGGTGTGGGAGAATGGAAGCCAGGCCTTGCGGACAATCATAGCACCTTGTGTAAGGGTTCCAGTCTTGTCGGAGCAAATGTTGGTTACACCACCAAGGGCCTCGAGGGCAGAAAGGTCTCGGACGACGACGTTGGACTTTCGCATGACCGTCACGGCGACAACCATTGTAATTGTGAGGACACTGAGAGGTCACTGTTAGTGGGAACCTTAGTTGGCAAAGAAGTACTCAATACTTACGCGACGAGAGATTCCGGGATAATGGCAATACCGAGAGAAACGGCATAGATGATGACTTCACCAGTGACATCGAACTTGTGAGCAGCGAAGACAATGATGGCCAGGATGATGGCACAACCAAAAAGAAGGTAGGCCAGAGCGGCCAGCTTTTTCTGCAGAGGGGTACCCTCAGTGAGACCCAAGAACTTGCCAACAGCATCGTAGACACGTCTCGAGAGACCAACAACGGGCTGACGCTTGCCGTACTTCTTGTAATTCATGGAGCGACCGGGCTTGCGAGTCTTCTTTTGGGTAGATGCAGCGATCTTGCCGACCTCGGTCTGCATGCCAGTAGCGACCACAATACCGCGACCACGGCCCTTGCGGACAATTGTTGTGGCGTATGCGATGTTGAGACGGTCACCGATACCGACCTCGCCCTCTTCGGTGGCTTTCTTCTCGGAGCCAGGGACTATGATGTTGGCTTCGGTGGTCTTATCGACGGGTTGAGCTTCACCGGTAAGAGACTGCTCGTCGCAAGACAGGTTCATAGCCTCGAACATGCGCATGTCGGCAGGGACGGTATCACCCATCTTCAGAAGAATAATGTCACCCGGGACGACTTCGGCGCTGTTGCAATGGTTAGCATTATTGCCAAGGGAAAACAAGCAAGGCGGCTAAGAGCCAAGAGAGCCAAGATGAGAGAAAGCGGGGGGAACCACGCGTTGACGCGTTGACGCATTGCGCATACTTACTTGGGGATGACCTTGGTCTTTCCGTCGCGAAGAACGTTGGCAGAGGGGGCAGACAGAGTGCGGAGAGCATCCATCTGCTTCTCAGCGCGGTATTCCTGCCAGAAACCGATGGTGACGTTGGCGACAATGACAAAAGCAAGAACGCCGCCCTCAATGTAGTCGTTGATGGCGAAACTCAGAATCATGGCGAAGACGAGAACGAGCACCATGGCATTGAACAACTGCTTGCTCAGAATGGTGTACCATGGCACCGACTCGCCGACTTCGAACTCATTGGGAGGGTACTTGTCCGAAGCCTGCTGGACTTGCTGCGAAGACAATCCCTTGTCGGGGTCAACTCCGAGCGCCTGAGCGGTCTCTTGGACCGTCAGCAGGAAGGGGTGTTTTGGGTAGTCACCAGACATTGTGTCGTGTCTGAGCTGGCGACGTCGATGCGATGTAGGATGTTTCCATTCACGATCGAGGTGGTAGGTGGAGAGAAGCTTGAATCAGCTGTAGAACTTGCCAAATCGAGGCTGAAGATAGGCGGTGGTAGTGTTGATGCCTCTCACTCGCGGATGAGGTCAGAGACGATGGTTGGAGGTTGGCTTGGTAACCTTGGAAAAGCTTCTTCTTCCGTTGTGTGGTTGGAAGGAAGTAGAGGGGAAGCTGTTTGACCGGCAGATCTAGAGTTTGAGATCACAAAGGTTGAGGGGGGACAAGGCTACCTTTATAGACTGACAGCCGGGAGACTGGTAGACTTGAAAATGCGCAGGGTTTCGAAAAAGTTTGGAAGCTTGTGCCTCGTAACCCACAAGGTCATCAGCGTCAGACTGGGGAAGTGCAAGAAAGAGAAAGAAAAAGCTGGGAAAGATGCCAAGGTCTGGGCATATGATAACACGCCCCCCCTTCGTAGAGGGGCGTTGTCGTGAAGGGAACATTGGCACGAGAGCTTGCAAAAGAAAAAAAGGCATTCGGTCATTGTGCCGACTGAAAGTGTGTGATTGGGCGTTGGTGGTTGTACCAAGGCGGTAGACATGGAAGCTTGACTTGGCTGAACTTGGCGGGTGGTGAGCTTCTTGGCTTTTGGAGACCGTTCCAGTTTCCTCGGAGGTTTGGTTTGGAGTTGGAAAAGGCAGAAACGAACAGAGACTGAGTGCAAAGACGGTCCGGTTGGGTGGTGGTCCTCGGGTGACGATGACCTTGGCGGAGCTCTTGGCGGAGGGAAGCGGCGTGGACGGAAGTGGGGCACCCAGAGGGAGTGGGGTCCGGTGGTGGGGCATGGATTAAGGTAGGGAAAGAGCAGGGGGCGCTGGAGAAGGAAGGAACTCTGGAGAGAAGGGCCGGAGGGAGGCCCGGGGGCACGCAATGTGAGCATTTACTACCTTGCCTTACTCATTGATATCAAGGCAATTTGCAGGTTGTTTCTCTATGAAATCTTATTGAAAGAAGGGAACTTCATCATGAGAGACTGGAGGTATTTGCTTGCTCGTATGGGCCAGTTGTGTCAAGCGGCCAAAAGGGTGTGAGCTGCAGTAGCAGGAAGACGGTGTTCTGCCATTGGAGCCTCCATGCAAAACACCCAGAAAAACGATTATAAACTGAACGGACCATTACAGCCGCAAACAGAGTGAAGGTTCTTAGCGTGCACACATATTTGAAAATTGAGTGTGACTCTGCAGCTTTTCTCGCCGTGAAGGCAATGGAATGGAACGAACCCATTTCATGTCAGTGACGCCATTGGCCGCCTCTCGGCGAATAAAGTTATTCGATGCGATGAACCAATGGCAAGTCTCGACTGCGCCATGGGGGCATGCATCACGTGCTGCTGGACGTGCCCAACCCAGACGCACAGATATTTTCACATTTTATATGGGTCTCCTGCTCAAACATGTTGTGTGATTGGCCCGTCGCCTCTTGGCCGCTGGATTCCTTCTTTCTTGGCTTTGCCTCCAGCTGGTTCAGACATCACAGCACCTGGTTACAGCGGGGAGAGGTACCTTGCCAGCCAAGATGCACAGCCATGGTACTTACGCACCTCAGCGGACTCGCCGCGACTATCCGCCGTAAGGTGGTTGCAAGGGGGCGAATCATGGCGCCTTGGCTTCCCTGAGAGCCCACAACGGCCACTGAGAGCCGCTGGAACTGGACGCCGACACGCTGCTCTGCCATGTTGTTTGGCCGTTTGCGTTGCACCTTCCTGGCCACGCATAGGTACTTCCCACACTTCCCTAGGTGCCTGGGTACGCATTAGGAGGTACGCCCAAATGGAACAACTCTCGGCTTCACCTCAACAAAAAAAAGACCCCGAAACAACGTGATCCTTTCAACAACGCCTCTTCAGGTGCCGAACTCCTACTTGCACCCCGGAACGACATGCCAAACCCAGTCATCGTATATCTCCGAGCGCTGAGGCTGAGAGAGAGGCTCTGCTCTGACTCTTCGCAAGCTTTGATATCACGTGTACCCTCCCTACGCGTCAGCTGATCAGTCTTCTTCGTATGGAAGATGCTTGCAATCCAAACACTTGTTTACTCCATCACCGAACCCGAAGAAAGCCGGAGCCAGAAGCTGACTTCGCGTTCCGCCGGGCGGAGCGAGATGGCGACACCGGATGGCAACACGGCACGCCACTTTCAATCACTTTTCGCCCAACTCCCTCCGCTGCCAAGAATCCGACCTTTACCACACCAGTTCGTCCGCGCCGTCGGTCGTACACTATCTTTCACACCATCTAACACCATTTTGCATGTCAGAAGGTCTGGCTAGGCAGACTTGGACGGCTGGACAAGGTGGACCGGGGTTCGACGGCGAGCCGCCGGCGCGGGCGATGTAGGAAACATCTCCAGCCTCCGGACAGCGATTGCCGGCGAACGTCGCCGTGCCGCCCCGGACATGGGCAGACGAAAAAGCAAGTCTATTCCGACTGCAAGCGAAGAATGTGATGGCCAAACTGCCATTTCTGCAACCGCTACAACCATTCACTCACGCTGGAATGTGGGTTCCTGGCAAAGTGCCCTGCCTACATACCATGTATACCGAACCCTCTAGAAATAGACCCATCCTGATCAACTGGCAAGGCGACAACTATTCTACCCACGGCCTCCTGCTCATGCTTCGCGCGTATCGCATACCATGGCATGACTACAGTCAGGACCTAGCTACCCACCATTGCGACTCCGTTTGCGCCGGCTCTACTTGGCGGCCCTTGGCGGTTCTTGTCCTACGACTCAACGACGTTGGATCAGCTCCGACGTGGGATGACCGAAGCTGGGCCCAGGCATTCTAGACCCCAGAAAATCCCCATTGACCCCATCATCCCACATCGCCGTCAATTGACCAGTTACGGCCCCGAAGCCTGCAGCCCGCAACCCGAGGCCACAGGCTCGCTGCTCGCACAACCAAAGCACCCATCACACACAGACCAGAACGAAGGGAGGAGAGACATTACATCGCACACATGGAGGGGTTGCGTCGACGATCCAAGCGCGATGCTGATCCCTTCTGTCGGTTTTCCTCATCTGTGGTCTCTGTCGCCCATCACCCCGCGCCCGGCGCCCGTATCTGCGCACGAGGCATCCGAGATCGAATTATCGCTCCCGGCGGCTAGTGTACTCCCCCTTCCTCATCCGAACTGCTTCAAACCGACGTCCCCTCCAACGCCGAGCTCAAGTTTCCAATTCTTGTCATTCTTGTTCACCAAGTGCAACATTGAATGGTCTGACACGGTCACAATCTTCTCGGTGGAGTCGCCAAGCGCTTGGCTTCTCGCGACCGCGCAAGATGGTGTGGACCGGGCCAAGTGACGTAGGAGGTTCAATCCAGAGCGCCCTTCCGCCCCCCCTTTGAGCCCCTCGGTTCTCTCGTGCCACGCTCGCTCAGGCCAGAACACCACTGGTTCTTCCTCGCATGTTCTTGGCAACGAAACTATTTCGCCAAGCCGTCGCCGTGGTCCCTGGTGTTGTCGAAACCACAGATTGGGTTCGTGTATAGCTTCGTAAAGAATCCAAATCATGCTCACTGACACTCTCCATGCCGTCACCTCGCGCCACCGGCCAATGTCCCGAACCAACCCCTCGGAACGGTCTATGTTGGACTCTCATTGTCGGTTTTCCACTACGGCGCTATTAGCGTAAGTCACTTTTCTCTTGGAGAAAACCAACACGTTGATCGCACGTTTGCAACAACATAGCTGGGATGAGACACTTAGCCGGTGGGTGGCAGCATGCCCGTCCATGACAAACACACTTTGAGGGTGGTCACTACGGCAGCAACTCGCTTGCGATGATAGTCGGTATCGCAGTCACAACCTAAGCCTCTAGCTATCCGTCTTGCCCGTCTTACCCTTTCCTCGTTTCCAGAACGGTCCACGCGAAGCTTGACCTTTGCTTATCCTCTCTCCTCCCATGAGCTTGTATTACGGCACTATGCATGTACCCACGTCTTGGATGATGGCATCAACCCCATTCCCAAGCGTCTGTCTGCCGGTCCCGCGGGGTTGGAGGCATGCAGAATGTATACCTTGCCTTTGACGCTTGGCCGCGGCGCCGTCATCATACATAAAGTAGCAGAGACGAGTATCCACCAAGTTGCAACTCGACCAGAGAATGAAGGATCTCTCAAAGGGCCAGACTGAAACTGCTTTGAGGGGTCCTTTGCTGCGCCGACGCCCTCCTCTCCACCTGTGACTTTGTCCAAGGCTTGGTGCTCTTGGGATGTTCTTGGCCTTGGCGAAGCTGACCAACGGCCAGATCAAAAGGTTGTAGAACGGCTTTGCCAAGATTAGGCGATCAGCTGAAATCCAGCAAGAGGGAAAATAGAATTAGCTATAGATCTACATGCTTGGTTCCATTGCGTTGCCACACCTTATCTTTCAACAAGTCTTTAGTGTAGGTCTTGTTATATTTCGAGGTTGCCGATGGGTAATAAAGCTTGTGAGCCAGTGGCTTTGGTTCAACCGCCCAAGCCAAGAATCAGCCCAGGCTATTGATTGAGTAACAGTATCTGAAACTATTGGCCGGTTCGTGTTATACTTGTTCACTGAGATAACTTGTCTCTATTGGTCATCGATCATTGCTGAAACTCCTGGTTCGACGAATGTCGAGACATCTGATTGCCAGCCCATGTAAGCACCGTAATTGATCTTAGCTGGTCTTTCTGGGTGCGTTGCTCAAGGTGGACGGTTGCCAGAGTACGGTGCAACTTATTCCATGCTCAACATCGTACTTGTGAGTTGGGTTCACGATGTATTACGCCACGAAGAGAGGTCGGTTAGAACGGTGTGGGTTCCATAACCCTGCCATCTATATAAGATGTACAGATATTCCATAGAATATTCGCTGCTATCCACCAATACATAAGCACCTTGTCTCGCAGAAACGTAGCAAGATATTGACAGGCTGCCAACTTGAACATTACCAATGATCATCTCGAACTCCATAACAATATGGCTCTTCATCGCCGCCGTCGGCACAGGGATCTGTAAGTCCAGCGCCTGATCCTGACTCAGCCAGGACTAACGCACTTACCAGCCGCTCAAGAGCTCTTTCAAGACGCCGCATCCACCAACGAGTTGCCTGCCCTCTGCTCGGTGCTCTGTCTACCCCTTAAACTCGTCTTCCCGAACTGTGATACCCTTTGCCAGACATGCGATAAGCCCAAGACGTTTTGCAAGACTGGGAAGACGGCCGAGTGTATTGATACGTCGACTGATGTCGGTAATTGCGGGAAGTGTGGTAATAAGGTAAGTGCGGTTGTCTATCTTGTAGCCAGATATGGGGTATTGGAACTGACATGTTGAACGCCAAAGTGCGGCGAAAAGGAAAGTTGCTGTAATTCGAAATGCGTCCCCGAGAACAGCTTTCAGAACGATGTCAACAATTGTGGCAAATGTGGCGTCAGGGTACGTGGATATCTCGCTGCGTCTTCTCCCTTGAAAACGACGTTCCCAATCATTCACTCACCTTTTTTTCGTCAGTGTGACGGAGGTCAAGTTTGCTGCGATTCCAAGTGTATGAGTACGACGCAGTTGCAGAATGATGGCAAAAATTGCGGAAAGTGCGGTACCAAGGCAAGATACCCTCGACATAAGGCTCACCTTGTAGATGTGAGTATCACGGTTTAGTATCGAAGGCTAATTCGGTTTCCTAGTGCGGCAAGGGCACGACGTGCTGTAACTCCGAGTGCCTGTCCAATGACACATTTCAGAGCGATCCCATGAACTGCGGCAAGTGCGGGAACAAGGTGAGGCTCTTCCCCACCACGGTCCATTATCCATTGTACAAGACGTTCCGACTGACTACGACAATAGTGCCCTGAGAATTACAACTGCCACTCAGGTCACTGCCTCGAGCCACACACCTGTAAAGCAGGCGTCTCCCTCCTCGAAAGCTGTCAAGATCCCGTCGTTAGCGGATCAAGCTGCGGTGCTGGTGAAGACGAGCTGTGTAACTGCATGGAGCCTGTTGAAGGCGACCCGTTTTGCGGCGCGTTCGATGGGCAGTATTGTCAGGATACGTGTAGTTCTGATAAAGATTGCCAGAATAGCAAGGGCAAGAAGTGTGCGAGAAGAGACAAGACATGTTGCTCGGCGGTGGCTACTGATGACAAGAGCCACAAGACGTTTAAGGGTGTGTGTTTTGAGGCTTGTGCAGGGAAATAAGGTCCAGTGCCGTTGGAGGCTTGATTTTCCATGTCACTAACAGCCTGTATTCTGCTCTACTCTGGAATATAGCGACACAGCGGTTACGGGAAGTTTGATAATATGAACATATTACGCGTTCAACAGATTTCACGACAGTCTATCCAGGAGCGCCATTGATACAAGGACTCAATTACTGCCGCATTCATCAATATGACAGCCCTTGGTAGCTCTTTACCACCCCGTTGCCTATTGTCCTGCACGTAAATGCTACATCTCCTTACCTTAGACCGCGAGGTAGACACCTTGATATCTATCGAAGAATGCTTATCAAAGAACCCAAGCTTCTAATCAAACCATTGCCAGGTATGGTCCCCCACTCAGGGTATCTCCGAAACGCAAGGCCTTCGAATTTACGATGTCCGGCGTGCCCACTCCCTGAAATCTTCAACCTTATCACTCTGCTTCCTTGAACTTCCTTCCCATGCTACCGGAGATGATCTGAGCATTGGTATAACATTGGAGCTTTCTTCCTGCCAATGCTTCAATTCTTTCTCATCTCTCGCATACCATACTGATTGTGGATTTCATCCATCGCACCACATTAGACAAGGTACATCTGTTTCGTACCACCCTGCCAGACGTATAGCTAACGTATCAAGAGAACTCACTCACAGCCATCCACTCATACACATACACAGCTACATACACCCACGCAACCGCAGACATGAAGCTGTCAACTACCCTCGCCATTCTTCTCGCCCCCATGGCAGTCTTCGCCAAACCCCCCAAACGTACCAGCGCACGCCACGTCAGAATCGACAGACTCCCCACTTGCATCCAATACTGCATTGGAGAAACACAATGGCGCATCAAAGGCGGCACGCTCCCAAAGCTCGCAGGCGAATGGTGCGCGAAAACCGCCGCACACACGCCGGACTGGATCAGCTTCGGCAAAGCTTTGGACGAGTGCAAGAAGCACCAGTGCGATAACAGCATCCAGTGGATCGACCTCGCCGTCTGGCACTGGGACATGTGCGAGTGGAGCGATGTCAAGGAGGAGGGCATGAACTTGCTCAGTGGCTATCGCAAGGCGTACTGGTGGCCTAATGATCGTCAGCCTATTCGACCTCCTCATTCTAGAAACTGGATCTCGGATGAGACGTTTGAGGCTCCCGATGAGTGGAATGACAATAACGGAATTGGAGATGACATTCCGGAAGATCAACCTCCGATCCACGGCTGATAGACCCTCTTCGACGAACCGCTTCTGAACGAGATTGGTGGCATCTGAGAGGATGGATATCAAAGTCTGGATATGGCCGTCCAGAGGAATACGTGTTAGTTGACACCGGTCAAGATTTTGGCGACTACACGAGGCTTTTCCATCAGCTATTAATCCCATGTTCGATCTGGTCCCCGCAACAGGTACCTGTGTTAAATCAGCCACCACCAACTTGCACCAACCCTGTCGCAAGTCATAATTCTGCGGCTACTCAGTTATTGATAGGTAGATATCAATGAGCATATCATGCATTAAAACATTGTTGCGAGATTTCCGTTCTCCTTTCAGTCGTCCTTTTGAGCTTAGAATACCATTTACAGATGTCTTTCCATGTCATAACTCCATACCTGTGGAGGCTGTCAACATAACATCATGGCTTCATATCACAGATTCAAGTCCGTAGCGTTTGACAAAGTCCGACAGGTTTTGCGGACTTTCAACTGAACTCCCTCTCAGTGAAGCCAAAATGTGGCTGTGGCAGTCACAGCTGAACGCAATTGTGACACTGCATGTAGCATGACTGCAGAGAGGCGGACTTGGCGGACTTTGAGCAATTCTGATGCTGAAACTAAATACCCTCATCTGCACCTTCGAATATTAGATAAAACAAACTTGCGCTGGAGTTTTCAGTACGTTGAATGTTTATCAAACAATCAACCCGCGTTTACATTGATATTTTGCGCCTTATACTCACTCCTAACCATGACAGGTGCTGCTCTCTTCGTCGGGGATGATGGGCAAGTCACTACTCGACGTGACCTCCCTCCAGTCACAGCACGAGACGATGAGATTCTTATTGACGTCCTCTACTCGGGAGTCAATCCTGCAGATCTCAAGATAATACACTTCACCAACTTCCGCAACTCTGTCTCGGGAACCGACTTCTGCGGCAAGGTCCTAGACTGCCCCGCGCTCGTCGGCTCTGGGTTCAAAGTCGGCGACATCGTGGCTGGTCAGAGTGTTGCCTATGGGGAATACTCCAAAGAGTACGGCGCTCATAAGCCGTGCATCTCCACGCCGAAACTTGGTCTTTTCAGAGTCCCTGAGAACATGCCCCGCCCCGACGCCGCAGCCATAACCACCGTCAGCCACACCGCCAGCGACGCATTGTACAACAACTTCAAACTTCCTCTCCCAGGATCCAGTACTGATGTTGTTGAGGGCACGCTGGTTGTATGGGGTGGAGGAACGGCCGTCGGCCTGTCCGCCCTCCAACTGGCCCGAGCTAGCGGGGTTACCAATATCATCACAACGGCATCTCCCTCCCGTCATGGTCTTCTCCGAGGACTCGGTGCAACCGATTGCTTCGACTACAAGGATGCCGATGTCTCAGACAAGGTCAGACAAGCGGTCATCAGAACAGGCCACTCTCGGGTATGGGGATTCGAGACCGCGGGGTCGCCCGAATCGAGTCAGCTGCTGCTCGGTGCGCTTACCAAAATCGATGCCGATGTTCAATTCTCTTGGGTCAATGCAACGGGTGCGCAGCGTCCGCCAAGCGAATCAGTCCTCGGATCCCGAGACTACGATATTGTCTTTGAGGTTGCCGGTGGTCGCCATGTCATCCCCGCAGAACCCGGAAAGGCCGCCAACATGTGGGCTGCTCTCGACTGGGTGGTCGAGAATTATGGAAAGGGATTCGAGCTTCCCGTCATACGTGTGTTTGAGGGTACCGGAGAACAGGCGCTGGAAGAGATGGAGACAGTGTCCAAGCAAGGAGCTTTTGGGAAGCTCGTGTTGAAGCATCCCCTTCGATGATCATAAGGCTAACGATGATTGCTTTCCTGCGACCATTCCAGGTCAGCTGTGAAAGACGTTTCTCGAAACGAGCGAGCCAGTAGATTGGACATTCTAGATGTAAAAAGAAACCCCGAAAGGAGAGTAGCAGAAGATACTAGAAGCCGGGAAGTATACGCACTGATTCCCATCCATGATGGTTATGAGGAGCTGAATAAGGGTGGTACATACTTAAGTATAAACAAAGATCAGGGCATCTGACTCTTTAAAATAAGATACCCTGAATACTTTATCACTTGAAACTTTAGATCCCCTTCCCGGCTTATGGATAGGGTACCCACTTTCCTCCACTGTGCGCCCGCCGTTCCTCCGCTAGTGCTCCGGAGCAACTCCGCAGCATTGTGTTCCATGGTTCCATGCTTGACATGGTACACAGTTAACGTATTGAGAGTCTATCGATATAGCTTCGTTCTTGACATCATGCTTCTTGCATACTTCGGGAGACACTTCTCTCCGCGTGTCCGTGTAATAGAATAACAATACTGCCGAGCGGGGGAATTATCGTGACGCGCGCTTACTCCAATCCCGATGCTTTCGGACTTCGGATTGTATCTTGAACTTTGAAACTTTGAAACCCAAGGCACTGATCCAATTTCCATACGACTACTTCATCGCATCAAGTATAAATGAAGGCCGACGGATCTCAAGTTCCATGTCATCACTGGACTTCCAACGCATTATCAACCTGTCAGCCCCAAGCCAGCCGTCTACTACAACTACTCAAAACTTTTGAAAAGTGGGCCTTGCCTCAAGTAACATTCCCAGGCCCATTGATATAGAATGGCCAACCAGTGGATGCCCCTCAACGACATGCCTAATCTTAAAGGAAAGATTGCCGTTGTGACAGGCGGCAAGTAAGCAACTATCTCCAAAATACATGAGTGTTGTGAATCTCTCGCCCCTCGGGCGGGTATCTGACAGGCCACGGTCAACAGCAGCGACATTGGTCGCGAAATAGCAAGACTTCTCGCCCAGAAGAGCGCAAAAGTCTACATCACCACACGCTCTGAGGCAACAGCCATCAGGTCACGCAATCAGATCTTGGACGCCCACCCCGAAATCGACCCCAAGAATCTGCAGTGGATGACAATGGATGTCACCGACATGCATAGTGTAACTTCGACAGCGGACAAGCTCAAGGAGAAAGAGCACAAAGTCGACATTCTGAGTACGTCTCATCATGATAATATCTCTTGCTTCCTTCTCACATTCAAATCGTTTAGTCCACAACGCCGCCGCAGGAACAACTTCCACGGAACTGGTTGGCCCAGGATGGGAGGTCCATATGGCTACCAAGTAAGTCAATCAGCCACGATTAGTTGAAGGAACTTATCAAAAGGTACTGACAGTTGCAGTTTCATCGGCCCCTTTCTCTTCACAAATCGCATGCTTCCACTGCTCAAGAACGCCCTCAAGGATAAAGACGCCGACGTCCGAGTGATCACGATGAGCTCGAGTGCCCAAACAGCCTTGGTCCCTGGAAAGTTCCCGTTCAACTTTGATTCTCCCGACTGCTTCCGTAATCCAGTTCCCTCACCCCCGTGGCAATGGCGTTACGTCGGTCGCTTCATATTCGGTTTCGACACGATCCGCTACGGCGTATCCAAAGCTGCCAATGCCATCTTCGCCCAGGAGCTGCAGAGAAGAATGGATGAGCAGAAGCTGCCGATTCTATCCATGGCGGTACATCCTGGCGAAGTTGCTACTGAGGGCGTGTTCTCAATCAATCCTAGTCTGGTCAAGACGATTGCGCGGTGGACATTCATCTCCCCAGAGCAGGGCGCTGCAACGCCCGTCTTTGCAGCTGCCTCTAAGGAGATTCGCCAGGATGCCTTCAAATACAAGGGCAAGTTCGTGTTCCCTGGTGGGAAGATTGGAGACCCGAACCCAGTCGCTTCGAACGAGGAGCAAGTCACTGGGTTATGGCGCAACGCCAATGAGGAAGTGAATGCGCAGCTTCGCGCTCAAGGACTCCCTGGTATTCAATCATGGTAAAAAGGTGCTGAAGTCTCTCGAGTCACTTTTGGTAGCTCGCTTGTCGCTGTGCTCTCATGTAGAGTACATGTGTATGCATATGTATACAGTCAACAACTTAGAAACAAATTGCTATTTCGGATTCTTAAGAAAAGCCACATGCACGTCTCACAGTAACTAAATGAGCACCAGACCACGCCCGCTGGTTTCATTGCAATGATAAGCAACAGGCTAGCCAAGCCATAACGCCAAACTTCGTAGAGCTCAAATACAAGTCCCATAGTCTACAGAAACACAATCTCCGGTGCTCACAACCCACTGATCTACCTTTTCCAATCCCCATAGCAGAGTAAACATCAACCGCGCAAATTCATCAACCTCAGCAGCCCGTATTCCTCGGGCCACTAGAGACTGTCCTTTCAGGCTATGAAGAAACAAAGGGTCCTCTCTCCGCGCGGCGGCTTCCCAGCGGGCAGGCGACGAGGCTTCCCAGAGCTCGCCGCGGAGCGTGATACAGACGTCGCCGGCACAGTCATGAGTCCAAGTCTCTTTCAGGCTGGTGTATACCCCCGTAGCCATACTCGTGAGAAGGAACGTGCGACGGACGGACTCGGAGAGGATGAAGGCTTGATACAAGCTGGTGACTACGTCCGTCTCAACGGTTTGAGTACATGACGTCGTCGATAGGAAGTTGGGAAAGACTGGCGACGTCGTTGCATCTAGCGCTGCCGACTCCCACAGCTGGCGGGCCCAGAGACGCAAGGTGTCTATCAAGTTCTCCGCTTTGCTTCTCCGAGGTATTGACGGGGAGAAGAGGCACAAGAGCAGGTGGATCAAAAGAGCCTGGGTGCGTGCCAGGTGTTGCCTTGTCGAGAGGATCGGGAGAAATGGTGCTTCCTCTGCGGAGTTGGCGGCTAGGAGGGTCATGATGTAATTCGACGACACCGCGTCGACCACGTGCTCGTTATCCGGGGTGATGGTCTGCGCTACAGCAATAGCTGCGTATGCGTCCTGGATACACTGGGGCATGGTCGTCTCTGAGTAGAGATGCCGATGGATGAAGGGATTGCACCCCTTGTGGAGGAAGCGGACGAGCCAAGATTGCAGTCCGCGGATGAAGTTGGTAAAGACCGCGGCTGGCGGAATTGATACCGGCGCTTCACGTTGGTAGTCGATGGTCCAGGATGTGGATTGAAGAAACCAGTTCAAGCCTTCCGCGTTGGGTACATCAGGCCTCGAAGCGCCATCGGAAGTGATCTGGCTTATGGCGGCGGCGGAGGAGGTGGAGGAGGACGACGTGTTTGTCATCGTCGTTGCGGCGATATTTGCTGCTGGCCCTGGTGCGGATACCGGAGCAAAAAGGGCCTCATCCAGCACTACCCCGATATTGTCGATGCCGCTTCCTGGCCACGAGGCCTCGATATCCCATCCGGATCCCAATCTCGAGCTGACATGGCTCGATATTGGTGCCTGTCTACTTCGCCGGACTGTGGGATACGTGCAAACGGCTTCCTTGTCTAGACACCGTGAGCAAGCCGGAAGACTTTGGTCGCAACGCCTCTTTGCCTCCACACAAGCGAAGCACGACTTTTGTTTCGATCTGCGGGCCATGGTGAGCTGATGGATTGTTGAAGCCACACAGATCACTAATCCTCTGGTGATCGAAAAGGCTGAGATGTTGCAGGCCTCGAGAGAGGTTGTGTTGTCCGAAACAAGGTTTGGCTACGGGGGCTAAGTCAGACGCGGAGATCTGGCGGAGTTGGCTGCGGAGATGCAACTCCTATTTCCAATCGCGTGCCCACGGGCCAACGAGGCCTGATGATTCTGCATGGAACATCGTCCTTGAAATTTTGACGCACGGAATCGACGAATGATGATTAATTACCCCCATGTTCTGCTCCTGGATCAGCAGTCAGTTGGTTTTTCACAGATGGTTTCTTTATCAGTGAGGTACCTTAGACAATGAATGTCTCAGCGAGAATATAGGCCAGGTTTTCTGTGCAACAGATCACAGAAGACATAGGACTAAGCCCCCGAAAGCATATTATTCGACGAAACCGTTCGCGTTCATGATCTATACCTTATGGTTCCTGAATACCCATGTGCAATAAACCTCCCTCAGGTTAAGCTCAAACTTCGAAGACAAACCTCTCTTCACCCCGCTTGACTCTCCAGGAGTTTGTAGCCTCCAACAGCTCCGGACACCCCTTGACCAAGAATCCCCATTTCGTAAAGAAGTTCTCGTTCGCCTCCCATGCCTTCCAGTCCCAGGGTTCGCCCCATACTATCAGCGAAGGCTTGTCGCTGTTATCCTCGTCCTTGACCTCCAAGATATCAGCGCACAGGTCATCGTCGTCCAGATCGCCTTTGGCAACCCCGAGAAGAACGTTATCGCGCAGTCGAGGGAAAGGAAAAAGATCGATCCAGGGATGGTGGAGGACTGTTCTTTGTAAAGGTGTGGGCTGTAGGGCTGGACCGGCTATGCGCGATTGAACGGGGATCAAGGGGCCGTAAAAATTGTATGGCGAGATGTAGTCTGCTCGACATAAGCCTTCTGGAGGAAACCCCATGCAAGAGGCATTGTGGGCGAGGGCGGCCAGAACTCGAAGCCGCACGAGTATATGTAAAGCTTTTGGCCTAGGAGCGTGGAGAGAGTAGTCTTCGTATACTTGATGTATGCGTGTTCGAGCCAAAGCCTGCCGTCGAGGACACCTGATGAGCTCGCATCCGGCCAATAGCGTAGTCAGGATGCTCTCGTCGTTTCTATAAGCTCCTCTGAGGATAGCGGCTTCAGCTTCAGCCTCTTGCTGTTTGATGGCCGTGTCTCTGACTATTGTGCAGACCACGCCCCTGTCATCTGATACTCCTGAAGTCGATGATGCCTGGTGGCCCTTTGTTCCGCGTCTCCTACCTGAACAAGGTGAGTTCATCGGATTTTTGCATCTTTCCAGAGCAGTACTAACGATACGCGCGCTGGTTGAGCTTATTCTGCAACTTCTTTCTTCGCGCTTGATCGGATATACCAGTCCAATTGTCGCTGGGCTCCCAAATGTCGCAAAGCATCACGAACGATTACAGGCACGGTTGTTCCTAGAGTTTCTAAGCGATTCGAGTTGTCACCCAAGTCTAAGCGACTATCGAATGGTGGCAATCACTGAGACGGGGTGCGATGATGAAAGGTGGAAAGGAGAAATCAGAAGCCACTGCCGGCGTTTAGAGTTTAGAGTTTCTAGCGTGGGGCCTAAATCCGGCGTCCGATTGCCCCGCGATGACTTCATATAGGGAGAGGTCATGTTGCTGAAATAGCTGCTGGGCCCATCCACCTTGTCCTTCAACGGTAGGACCTGGCTAAGGTATGATTGAAATACCCATATCGGCAAATTTAGGAGTTATTAAATTTCTAGCTGAACGTTAGTCAACTTCGTTAAGCAAAACAAAACATTCCGCCGAAACCCTGCCAGTTCTGGTAGTTCAGTTGTTGGTGCACGACGGGATGAAACTGACTCAGAGGGCGGGTGTTCAGCAATACTGCCCTTTCATCCAAAGCCGCTAGCTGTCACCCCAACTTTTTCGATCAACTAAAGGCAGCGGCTGTCATCTCATCTGAAAGCAACTTGTCTCACTGTAAATTCTTCTTGGTGAGGGATGGATGGTGGCTGTCATGTTCCTTTGACGCTTGTCCAACCCTACAGCAGGGCTGAGCAGAGGATCCGCCCATCATCCAGGGGCTGAAAAGTAAGCAAATTGGCAGATTAAATCCTTACTAGGTAACAATCTGTCTTGGTATGCCGCAATGCTTTCTATTGGACCTCAATCGTTACCCCAAGAAATCCGCAGCACCGCCTTTGCCTGGTACGAAGACCCCGTAGGTAGCGCACTCGCACTCGCTTAACAGAATAAACTGGGCCCCCCATGAGCGGCCTCCCGAACGGGGGGCCGGTGGACATTGCAGATCTGCGCCGAAGGTCCGTCCGGCGAGAGCTTACATGATCGGAGGCATCACGTACAAATTAAAATGTACCATGAAATGCTTGCAAGTCTTTCTTTCACTGAGACTAAGTAGCTTCTCCTCTCACGCTGGTTCAGAGAGGCTCTTCTCCCGTTACTTTCAACATCACCAAACCTACCTTACACTCGGCAACATCAGCACCAACACCACAATGACACGCTCCTTTCGATACCGCGACGGCGTAGCAATCGCCCAAATCATCGTCTTCCTAGTCTACCTCGCCTTCGGCATCCTCTTCCGCGTCCAAAAGAAAATGGGCTGGTTCGGCATCTCCTTCATCTCCACCATCCGCATCGTCGGCGCCGGCTGCATGCTGGGGACACTCACAAACTCCTCGCGCGCAGTCTGGGCCGCCATCTTTGTCTGCGAGTCCCTTGGTCTCGTGCTCTTGACGTTTGTACTGCTTGATCTGCTCAAGAGGGTGTAAGTCTCCGCCTCTATCCAGTGTCCACTGCTTCACAAAAGAGAGCATTGACGCTGACACACCACTCACGAAACAGCAACTCCTTCGTTCAGGTCCTGACGCAATGGCACTTCCGCATCCCCGAACTAATATGCTGGGCCGGTCTCGGAATCTCCATCGCAGACTACATCGTCGCAGCCAAAAAGACATCCGACGCCACGGCGCCCGGCACGCTCACAAGGGCAGGCGTAGGCCTCTTTGCCGCGCTCTACTTCTGGGGCGTCCTCCTCTTCGTGCTCCTGGCGAAGGAGTGGAAGCGGGTCCCGCAGGCCGAGAGGCGGGCCATGGTCGGGTTCGCGGGGTGTTTCCCGTTCATGGTTGTGCGGATCTCGTATACGATTGCCTATGTTAGTACCGGGGAGAAGAGGTTTAGTGCGGTGAGCGGGGATACGACGACATATTTGTTCATGACGGTCTTGATGGAGTTTGCAGTGCTGGGGTGTGTTGTGTGGACTATTTGGGGTTTGGACAGAGTGTATGTGCAGGTGGAGGCAGTGCGTGGGAAAGACGCTGGTGAAATGGATGATCTCGTCGAGTCTGGAGGGCAGAGATCTAGGCACTTGGAAAATTCATAGACAGTAGCTTCCTGCATTTCAATTAAATTCGTCAAATCCACGAGGGATCAGTCAATGAGTTGGCTGGTAACGAGCCGCCCATAGGCACGACGATATCGGATATTGTCAAAGCATATTCACACCTATTGGCAATGGGCAAGCAGGCAACGTGAATGAATACTAGCAAGTTAGTTGTTCCTTTTATTTACCTAGCTACATCGAACGCCAGTTGCCAGTGATAACGAATAGAAAGTGAAGACCTCTTACCTAGGCCGAACTTGGTGCAAATATGCTACCCCTTCTCGAGCGCCTCGACACCTTTCATTTTGAAGCCATGCTGGTAAATCTTTCGAGCCTTTTGACTCGTTGCCTCACATCTTGACGCGGAACAAGTAGCGAAGACGGACTTGGGCAAGATCGTAAGCAATGTACTCATTGTACATGAGGTATGCACCTGGAACATTGGTGGGGCCTGGCGTGACGCTCACGTCGGGCTGCGAAATCATTAGTACTGAATCTTTGAGTTGCAGTTGGGATGCGGCTTGTCCTCACCATTTGGATTCCCTTCAGGTCCGGGTTGACACAGCTAGCATCCTTCCACTTGCTCGGTCCGGTGTTACCCTGACCCCAAGTGGACCACATGCCGCCCGCCTTTGCATCATCGCCAGCGTTATAGCTCGCGTTTGTAAGCTTCTGCATTGGGTCTCCAAGCTCGGCCTCGCAAAGCAGCAGCAACGCCTGACCCCCTGAGTTATAGGAGGCGCAGTAGTTTGCTGACTTGCTCGACATGTCTGCAAGGTAAATGCCCTTGCCAAACATGTAGCCCGACACGGGGGCCTCAGGAGGGGCGATTCGGAGACCCTGGCTGAGAATACCACCATAGTTGGTGACTCGAGAGCCATGCCACAGCAATCTGCGGTCGGACTTGATGGATGAGAACTCGCTCTTCTCGAAGCGCTCCAGCTCGCCCTGTCGTTCAATCCGGAAGATGTCCTCAATCTTATAGGTGTGACCGTGGGTAGAGCCCCTGGATCCATTCAGGTATTCAGCAAGAAGGGTGAACTCGGTACTCTTGCGGTCAAGAGGAGTCATCTCCTCCATTCCGAGACCCTGGTACTGTCTGTCGGCTTGGTGAACGTCCGTGTTCTTGCGGTCAACCTTCATAAGGTCCGCTGCGACCTTCATGTCGGACAGACTGTCGAGCAAGTCGACTTCCTTCTTCAGCATAGCACCAGAGCCGATGATGGGCGGACGGTTGCGACCAAAGGCGTGGGGGATCAGCGAGTAGTACGAGTTGGACAAGTGTTCAGTCGCAGCCGGGACGGACATGTGGTACTCGGAGTCGGCAAGCGTGCTGTCGTTGAAGAGAGCGGCCAAGTCCTTGAGCACCTGGAAACCTCTGAGAATGGTATTCTTGCTGAGCTTGCCGAGGGGCAGCTTGTTGGCATCGTAGTTCATGGAGGTCATGGCCTCGCGGAAGTACTGCTGGTTGAAGATGAGGCCCATCAGGTCCTGCACCGGTTGAGGAAGGGATGATTTAACTGGGTCCGCCATGTCGTCGTCGCTGTCGTCCTCTTCCTTCTTGACGTCGCCGGCCGCACCCTCGTCGTCGTCGTCTTCATCGTCATCTGAGTCTGGCTCGTAGCTACGCTCAACAAAGGCGTATTTGCCGGGCTTGGGAGGGTCTGCGCGCTTGGCCCACGCGACACCACTCTTGTCTTTGAACTTCTTGTCGTAGTTCTTCAACGCGTCGTCGAGGCTGCCATTGCCGAGGACAGCAGACTGGCCGAATTCTCCGACTCTGCCCCAGCGGGTCCACGTTTTGAACGTTTTGCCGTCTTGAACAAGCTGCGGGTACGATTAGATAGCGGCTCGGACTAGTACCATCAGTTGGCGTGCACATACCTGAATACGATAGAACTTGTTGTTATTGTTTGAGGCATTCGTTTGGTTCAGAGATGCGTCGTAAATGACACCGTCGGGTGCAATGTAGACGGTTCCCTGGACCTTGCAGCCCTCGTCAAGAGGAACCACGATTCCTTTGGAGGCGGTCTGGGCGTCGCCGCTGCTTGCAGCCTTCTTTTTCACGTCGGTCTTGTCATCGGCATCGTCAGCCGCGGCCGCAGAACCAGCAGCCTTCTTCTTGCCCTTGGCACCGGCGGCAGCCTTCTGCTTCTTCACGTCGGGTTTGGCATCAGCATCACTGTCATTGTCAGACTGAGCATCTGCCTTGACGCGCTTCTTGCTCGCGGCACTGGTCTTGGACGCAGTGCTGGCTTGAGACTGCGACTGCGAGCCATTCTGCTGAGAGCCGTTGGACTGCGCTGAGGCTCCATTCTTCTTTGTGGAACCGTTGGTGGCTGCAGACGGGGCGGCCTTTGCCTTGGTCGTTGTGGTTTTGCCGGGCTCAAAATCGCTCTCGGCGACCTTGGACCCCTGAGACTCGGACTTCTCGGCCCAATCAAGGGTGACGATGAAGATGCCATTCTTCTGAGCGGAAGCAACTTTGGTGGTTACAGCGTTGAATTCCTCGAGTGTCGTAATAAGGTGAGTAGTCTTCTTGGTAATTGACTTGGCAATGCCGGCACCGAGGGAGGAGAGCCACGACTCGAGATCCGTCCGCTTCTTGTCAAAGGTGCCACTGATGGCGATGACAGTGCCAGCCAATGGCTGGGCCGCAGGGGTAGTGGGAGCTGCGCTTGTAGCTGCTGCAGCTGTTCTCCCTGATCTCCTTGGAGCGGACATTGTGGGTGGGATGTGGAGGTTATGCGCCTACGTATACAGGGGAGCTTGAGAAAGGGAAACAGAGCTTCAAAAGTATGACAGGGGTCCGTGTTGAGTGACCGAGTCCAATTGATGGTGGTTGAATGAGACTCTGAGATGGAGAAGAAAGTGAAGATGAAAGACGAAAGAGATGAAAGGGAGTCGAGATGATTTATTTCGCTGTGCCTCCTTTGACTTTGGATCAGAAAAACAAGTCAGCTCATTGCCAATTGGAGTTACCTCACCTCGTACCTTGGGACCTGGGTGGAAGGTGCCGCACGCTTTCAGCTCCTTCTGGACGAACCAACATGGTCCTGCAGGCACCAACGCCGCTGGTGCCTGGCGCACGAGCCACCGCGACTGCTCGAGGTCCTCGCGAGTTCACGTGCCGTCTCAACATCAGGGTACCGCCGAACCACCACTGGTAACGGAGTACTTCGCTGTTAACCACTTTTAGGTGCCAATCAAGGTACCTGGGAACTCGACGATGTTTCTCCCCTGGAGACGCTCTTCGATTTTAGAGGAGCTCCTGCCTGGAGCAAGGCCTTAGCTTCAAATTGCAGTGTACCTCAACTTTGCCCTCTGAAGTATCCGAATCGCTTCATGCCCATCCGTTTGCCAACCCTGATTGACTTCTTTAAGCGGGCCAGCTGCCTAGATATGTACATAGTGGATCCTTTCACCCCAATTCCAGACTCTACACCGGCCGGAACATACCTCCAGAAGCAACTACATGGCCAGCATCACCAGACAGAAACCCTCGAATCCTCGACTTAATGACTGGACGTCCCCGTCAGCCACCAAAATTCACCGGTTGCCTCAAAAAGTGTAAATCATAGGAAGAGCCGGGCAGGAATACGGCCCGGGCCTAATTCTTTCCTCTACCATCGTCTACTGAAACACAATCGGGTAAAAGCCTTGCTCGTAGGCTATCGTGTCTTCGAGGCCATCCAGCGCTTCCTCAATTTCATCTGGAAAGTAGCCTCCTGACTCCATTTGTTCTGGGTCGAGTATCAAGTTGTCAGCCATTATGTAGTATTCACCCCTCGCCAGCTCCGTCATCCTTTTCCACGACCACTGAAGCAGCTACCACGTTGACTAGGCCCGTAGTACTCTGAGAATGGCGCCTCGCAAAAGCTAAAGGGAGTTGCAGCACGTAACTACTGACCTTGAATCGCGTCCATTATGTCATCTTCCAAAACATCGTTGTCCATGTCGTCGTCCATGCCATCGTTCGAATCTTCGTCATCTTCTTCATCCGACTCCGGGTTGCGCTTACGCTCGGGCGGGATATCAACCATGATTTGCTTAGCCAGGTCTCCTACAAAATGTCTCCAGTCGATGCCTGTGTACTCCCTTCTGGCCACAGTCTTGTCTGGCACCCCGTCTGTGGCTTGAACCCATACCCTGGCGCTCGTCATAGACATGCGCTGAGCAGGACAACCGACCATGATGTGTTTCAGATCGAGGTTGGGTATCTCACGCAGATTCTGGAGGAATCGAGCCCACATGTTGATAATGGAAATGTCGCCTCTCGCGTTGTAGTCGCCTTGAACAGCTCCTGTACGGCTGCGGAGCGTGACCTTCCACAGCTCGAGGTTCCTGAGTGTTGGTGCAAGTTTTCGCACGACTTGGAGAAGCCGCTTCGGCTCAACTTCAACGAAGCCCAGGTTGATCTCTTCGAGATGGGGAAACGCCACCGGAGCTGGAGGCGTCGGTAGCTGGTTGTCGTCCGGTTCAGAAAGAGCACTGGGAACAGGTGTACCCAGCCAGTCAACGAACTCATCGATAGCATCAGAGTTATGGCCTGGGTGCGCAAAGTTCAACCGTAGATGCTTGAGGTTCGGCATGTGACCTAAGAAGAGACGCAGGGAGTAATCGTATCGACGCCGTAGTTGAGTTCCCGCGCTACCTGTAAGTGACGTGACTCGGAAGGGGCCAGTCGCTACGTTCACAACGCTCATGAAAGTCTCGATGCCCTCGAGAACCGGGACGACCTTGGGCTTGAGGTATTTGGTGAAGAGGTTGTAAGCGTCGTCAGAGGGCACGCCTTGCTGGTGACGGAGCAGCTCGAAGGCACTGGGCCGGGCGCCAGCATTACCAAGTGCGGTAAAGAGGGTAATGAAGACTTTGTTGGTGTAGGCGACCATCTCTTCGATAGGTATGCGCAGAAGATCTACTCCGGTATCCTGGCGGAGTGTGGTGGCGCCGTAACTCGCCCAGCTGACCTCGAAGCCATCCCGAAAGCCCCTTCCCGCGGAATGGTAGTCACGAATGCCCACGGTTTTGAGGTTCTTGAGGTTTTTGAAAGCCTCCGTCAGCATAGCGACGTCTTGACCGCTGTTGACCAGGGTGTGGTGATCGGATTGGGCTTCGCGATAGCGGGTTTCCTGGGCTTCCTCTCCTGGGGAAAAGTAATGACGTGTAAATGTGTTGAGGCCGATGATGACATAGTCGAGACAATCACTCAGCCGTGACTTGCTGATGTCGATGAGGGTCTGTAGGCTGAATTCGGTGAGCATGAATTGGCGTTGCGTAAAGAACTCCTTCATGAACATATTGAACATGGACTGCTCTATGGACCTGCATGTCAGACGAAGGCTTCCCAGGTCGGGTGTCGACAATTGATCCGATATGCGAATGAGAACCTCGAGAGGCACTTTGTTGAAGGGCGATTTAGACTGAGGGTTTGCCGGCGCATCCATGACTGGTATTGACGGCTCTGATGCCGATGGCGCAGGTTGTGACATTGTGGGAGGGCGACGGCAGTGTGCCAAGGTACTGATGCACTGTTTCGTTCAAGATGGAGAGATTCGAAACTGAACATGGGACTGATAATAAATTAGCTGAACAATCTCTATTCTAGAGAATGAACAGAAGAAAATCAAAGACGCGAGAAATACCAGTGTCTTCTTGGGTCGGTGGACGTAGCGATTAGTATGGAAGTCTAATGAATCAGAGTAGGTGGGGCGAAGCTTCACGATCCAGGCAGAAGCGGGGAACTTGTAGGTGAGTTGCTGATGCTTTTCGGGAGTGTCAGAAGCGGGAAAGAATTGGCCGAGATTGAAAGATTCGCACAACTCAAATTGATTCGGTATCAGCACCAATACACGAGATAGGTACCTAGGTAGTTGCAGATGCTGGGCAGGAAGGAGCTGTTGCTGCTTCAGCCTTGCCAAATCCGATCGTTGCCTGTCGGTACCCGTATGTCGATACCCGTTCTGGGTCGTTCCTGCCTAATGGTATTCGAGTTCTGTAAGGTGACGTGCAGTATGAGGACGTCGCACAACTGCTGGAAGGTGCGACCAACGGCGCAGACTGCGTTGGGTTGTTCTTGCTGATTGGCTTGTGACTGTCCCAGTCCGCCCTTTTTAGGGAGCTTGTTCGCCGGAAAGCTGCTGTAAAGCATCATTAAGTTTGGTGCCTCCAGTCTGGCAATGGAACCTGCGTCCAATTGGCGAGGGCAACCACAGTGACATGCCAGATTGACATGGACGAAGCTTGGGCCATCACCCACCTGCCCTCCCGCCGGGAGCACGGGAGCAACTCCAGCCTGCAGCGCACCTTCCATTGACAGCTTGGGAGCCGGATACCCACCTCTGTCACCAGCCATACTCGCCTGTGGATAAGGCGATAAGGTAGTCAAGCCACATGAACAGGTGGCTTGCACCATGTGGCTCATGCTTCCCAGGCAAATTGGGTTCAAACTCTATCGTCGGCAAAAGCAGCCCTTTTTGCCCTTTTTGCATAATCAAGGCAATTCAGCAATCGAGCAATCCTTGAGCGACCCGTCGGCTTGCTTATCTCAGGTAAAAACAGACTCTCGGGGGCGGCTATTTGACGCCATGTGAGCTTATTCCATCGTCGTCTTGACTTTGACAGGTAGGCAGTCGGCTGGCGCACTAACGAACATCTTCAATCGTCTGAATCAGTCTCACTTTCACCCACAATAGCGTGACCAATACTCGACTCAAGACAAGAACGTCTTATCTGCCGATCAGACTCACTGCGAGAGGGAACGGAAAAGCAAAGACCGCGAATCCACCCACTCAGTCCCTTGGCGGAGATGGCGACTCGCACGTTTCGCCACTACGCCTCACTCTGTCTGATTATACAAATTGACACTGGGCAGTGAGTTCACTCAGAACGAAAGCGAATTACATCACTGCCACCGTGCCACGCAGAACACTCACACCACACAGTATCCATACGGATACACACCGAGCCTGCTGCCCCTGTGCCCCTGAATGACATACCTCGCCCCCCCGAAGACTGGAGCCACGATGGACCAGAATGTATTTGGTCTGCTCTCTCGGAATCAACCGGCCAAAGTCACATTCGGCACGGGAGCCATGTTTGCTTGACGGGTGGCTGATTTTCTTTCATGCTCTTTCTTTGTTTTTTATTTTCTGCCCTGGACTGGAGATCCGGTTCATCGCGCCGACGTTTGGCTCGGAAGTGTCGCAGATTTATCGCTGCTGACATCTGTCCCCAGCAGGGTTACTTCAACACCTCGATGCGACTGTCTTGGCAATGAAGCTAAAATACTATGGCCAATTTCATCGATCCAACATCGTGCCGGCGTCAACAGCGCGAAAAGACACGCAGGAAGTTTATCATAGTACGGCGAGATCAAGTGATTGTCTGATCACTCACAGGACCATTCGGCGGAAACTCTCAAATGAAACAACAGAACTTGGCCGACCATGAAGTATTGCGCAATCGTTATCAAACACCAGGCATCTTTGCAGCCGGCCGAGAAGAGCGGATCTCTTGGATTGTTTGACCGTCAGACTGTTCAATGGAACAGTCGTTGGAGGCTCACTCATGCCCATGCAGCGCATTTCGGCCAGAGTCCACATCCCACACCGCGTCGCCGAATCTCTCTCTTGGAATATTTTCATATTGGGAGTTTGTCCGGCTGGGCGCTCCATGATCCATCAATCATCAGTCCGGGAGGCCAACCAAACAAGCCAACAACATGCAAGACCAACACTCATCCCGAACCTACAGTCTTACATCGATAATGAGCGCGGGCTGAAGAGTCGTACCCGACGTGGGGCCATCCCGTTGAGCGAGCTTTGAGATGAAGGGGTGCAGCGAATACGCAGCTTGGCAACGCAACGTCCAGGGCCCCCGACGGTGCCCACATCACGCGCAAAAAATTGTGCCAATTGTGGTCTTGAGCTCCTCAAATTCCCTTTCGACCATGCCAACTCCAACGGTCATCCAGCGTCGAGCATATCCCGCCCGGGCTTGGCCCTAGCAGAAAGATCAAAGGTCATCTCAATTATCCCAATGCCCAAGAAAGCCAATACTTGTTGGCCTTTATTCGCGGCGACGGACCCATAAGTTTAAACTGATAGAGAAGGTGAACGCCCTGCAACTCCCGGGGCCGCTTAGGACTGCGGACGGGTCTGCTCTTACGAATTCAAGCTAGTCTCTACGGATACTCAGATACTAGCACGACTAGCAACGGAGCGGCGTAGCACTTTAGAAGCGAAGCAGGCCCGCCGTCTTTCAATCTTCTTAAGACGTGCCAAGACGTTGCCAAGACGCGTACGTGGAGAGCCTCAACCGTCGTTCTCGTCACTCACTGGATCCGGACCTTATTTCTCCATCCTCCGTCCAACATCCCATCCACTTCTTCGCCAGAACGGGCCAAGCAGGCGGAGATGAACCGTAGAGGGGGTGGGATGCGACGATACTTGGCTCATAAACAAGCTGCCACTATGCTGACGACGACCTCGAGATAGCCGCTGGCGTATCTGCCATTGCAGAGTACTGGGCAGGGCATAGAAGCACATCATATTCCTCTTCGACAACGGTGGACTTGTCCGACATGGTGCGGGCGGTGCGGGATGAGAAACAAGATGACCATGATGGATCTCTAGTTCCTGGATACTTTCTGCTCTCCCCTTGGCTTCCACTTGGCAATCCTCTGCCTTTCTTTCCAACCCCTGATTCCCTGATCTCCCGGCCTTAAGCCCAGTGCTGTTCATTGCTCCAATCTGCAAACCCCTCGTCCTCGCAGTCGCCATGCTCTACTTGGCTATCCCCATCTGATCATTCTGGTGATGATCAATAAGCGCAACCCCCCCACTGTCGTCCCTAATCACCCCGACTCATCCAACTCATCCCAGAACCCCGTCGATGGATCCTTCGTTGCACGGTTGCACCGTTTCCCCCCCGTCGGGTGCTCTCCAGCAAACATGGAGGCGCAGACGAACCGGCTTGTATCCGATCTTGGATTAAAAAGAGCTCCCTTCCCCCCAGCCTTAGCCGTCTTTTGAGGAAGCTTGGCGACTCAGATCTGGCTCCTTCATCCGCTTGCTTCTCAATCTCCTGTCGTGATTTCCGAATCTCGACATAGTCACTCTTTTGAACCCCCCAAAGCAAAGCAAAACCCCTCATATCAAAGCCCATAATGAAGTCCGTCCTCTTCTTCGCGACCGCCGCGGCGGCCGCCGGTCCTTACCTCGCCTGGACCGCCGACTCGTTCACCAAGCACGAGATCGACAACAAGAAGCCGTACCACTACACCAAGGCCGTCCTCTATGACGGCTTCGAGGCCGCCATCGAGCTCACCAAGGACGATGCCCTCGTCGACTGGTACCGCAGCCGTATCGATGACCTCGTCGTCCAGTCCAACGGCAGCATCCTGAACTGGAAGCCCACCACCTACTCCCTGGACGAGTACCGTATCGGCAACAACATCCTCTGGTGGTACGAGCGCACCGGCGAGGAGAAGTACAAGACCGCCGCCAGAACCATCCGCGACCAGCTTGTCGAGCGCCACCCCCGTACCGACGAGGGCGGCTTCTTCCACCGCAGCCCCGACTACGACTACCAGATGTGGCTCGACGGCATCTTCATGGCCGACACCTTCTACGCAAAGTGGACTTCCCTCTTCGACAAGGACAACACCACCGCCTGGAACGACATTGTCAACCAGTTCGAGGTCATTGACAAGCACACCCGCAACTACACCACCGGTCTCCTGTACCACGGCTTCGACGAGAAGATGGAGGCCGTCTGGGCCAACCAGATCACCGGCGCCTCCCCGCTCACCTGGTCCCGTGCCGTCGGCTGGTACGCCGTCGCCCTCCTCGAGGTCCTTGAGCTCCTCCCCCGCGGCCACCCCGGCGTCACCACCCTCTCCCGCTTCTTCGTCACCCTCGCCGAGGGCCTGAAGAACGCCCAGGACAGCACCACCGGCGGCTGGTGGCTCATCATGGACAGCCCCTACGTCGGCCGCCCCAAGAACTACATCGAGTCCTCCGCCTCTGCTCTCTTCGTCTTCTCCTGGCTCAAGGGTATCCGCCTCGGCCTCCTCCCCGAGCGCCGCTTCTTCCCCGCCGCCGCCAAGGGCTACCAGGAGCTCACCACCTTTGTCGTCGAGAACGCCAACGGCACCGTCAACTGGAACGGCACCGTCGAGGTCGGCTCCCTCAAGAGCAACGCCAGCTTCGAGTACTACACCTCCGTCCCCATCGCCATGAACGACTACAAGGGTGTCGGCCCCTGGATGTTCGCCTCCTACGAGTGGGAGACCTTCAACCAGACCTCCGCCGGTGGTGGCAGCCGTCCCCGCGGCCCCGGTCGTGGTGGCCCTCGTGGCCCCCGCGGTCCCCGCACCTTCAACCGCCGCTACCACTTTTATGAGAGTATAGATGGAAGTGTCTAGGAGAACCTAAAGACGTGACGGAAGCATACGGTCGATGATATCAAAGAGTCATGGCCCTCAAGCGTGTACATGAATTAAACTTAATTTCTTAATCCCTCCTCTGGGGGCGTCTGTACATTTTTTCTCCCTCATTTACATGGACATAGATTCGTTTCTCCCTGATTATGTGTTGATCGTCTCCGTAATGCGTGATGTTCTCTCTGTTGCCCGAGAGCCTAGTGTGACAATTGCCAAGGCAGGTTCTTCAAAACATCGTCGATTCTGCAGTCATGTTAGCCAAGTTCTCAAGTACATCTCACCGTAGACTCACCTTTTCAACCCTTCGGCCACGATATCCTCCTCCTGCGTATAAACCAACCGAAACCACCCTGGCGCAAGACAATGCTCCTCCCCCGGATGCAGAAACACGCCCCTCTCAACAAACCTCTCCGCCAACGCAAACTCCCTCTCCCGATCCGACTCATATTCCCCTTCCTCCCCCGGCGGCGGCAACCACGGCGAGAGATCAATATACACAAACAACCCAGCATTCGCCTCCATGTACCTAACCCCCATCTCCCTTAACTTCCCCGTCACGAACCCATACGCGCCCGCGATAGCCCGCCTCAAACTAGCAATAAACTCATCATGCCACGCCCGATCCTCAAACATGGCAGCCGCGATCGCGACGGACGGCCCAGCAGGACTATGAAACCTCACCACGCTCGAAAACGCCTCGTGCAGCGCCGCATTCCTCGATACCAGCGCGCCCAGCCGCAGTCCCGACGAGGCAAAGTCCTTGGCCAGGCCGTACTCGACGTGCACCAAGTCCGGATCGATAATGCGCGCCGGGTCGATGGACAGCACCGACGTAAACCCGGGCATCTCCCCGCAAGACCTAAACACGGAAAGCCCATACACCTCGTCACTAACAAGATGAATCTTATGCCTCCCACAAAACCGCATAATCGCCACGAGCGTCTCGCGGGGGTAACACCGTCCCAGCGGATTACTCGGATTCACAATCATCACCGCCCTCACCCTCACACCCCTCCCCATCTCCCTTCGCACCGCAGCCTCCATCTCCGCAACCACCGCATCCGGCAGGAAACACGTCTCGGGCGTGGTATCGGCATACACGACCTCCACCCCCATCTCGTTCCCGAAATCAAGCTCGAATCGCCCATACACCGGCCTCGGCACCAACACACCCTCACCAGGCGACGCAAGCGCAAACGCAAGAATGCCCTGCACGGCCGTCGCCCCCGCCGCGACCCTCACATGCTCCGCCTCAAGCCGCGCATGGGGACTGAATGTAGCGTTCAAATGCCCCGCCATCGCAGCGCGGAGACGGGTGCCACCGGCGGTGCTGTAGCTATACCCGAAGACGTCGGGCGGGAGTGGGACCGTGGCGGCGAAAGCGGCGACGGCGGGTTGCATGAGGGCGTTACTTGCGCTGCCAAAGGAGATGAGGCCCGAGGGGTTGGTGGAGGCCGAGTAAGTCTGGACGGGGGCGAAGCGCCACGGCCGGTGGAGGGCCGAGGCAGTTTTTGCGGCGCGGGGAGAAAGCATTGCGCCTTTGGGGGACGTAGTGCAGGTCATTTGTGTTTATTTGCGCAAGTGTGGTTTTTGGGAAACGAAGCCTGGCCGATGGTGAACTATCCCATAGAAGAGTATTAACGGGCTTTTCATTCCAAGAATGGGGTTTCCAGAGACTTGGGGTTGCTGATGTACTCGGAAGGGCGCCTCGGAGGAACAGATGCCGGCCGAGCGACCGGCATCCGGCGCGGGGAAAGAGAAGGGTTCGTGTTTTGCGCACCTCTGCGGCCTCTCAGCATCCATCCATGATCGGCCGGCGGGGTTCCACTATTGGGCGCTGATGTGTTTCGTTTCAACTCGCGCAAAAGCGCTCAATTACCACTCTGAAGCGATGCGTTTGCATACTGGAGTATTCGTGAGGTTTTCCCACGTTGCAAAATTGCTGTTCTATCCGTGAGTTCCACAAAAGAGATGGACTGACGTTGACGGTATGGGGAGGTGATATCGCACGGAACTCCGGGCCGGCGGTTGATGCTCAGACACGGCCCCGCAGCCGGTCTCGGCTCCGGCGTTCGGTCGATAGCCCCAGCGTGCTACCAAAGGCCCTCCCCTCCCCTTAGTTTCCCTTGTCCTTACGTACCTAGTCTTATTCATAAAGTGGCTATCTAGAATCGAGTCCTTTTCTCTTTTTGCCTCTCGTCAGTGCCTGGGTAGTGCTGCACCATTTAATGAAATAAAAAGAGTAAAACAAAATATTGAATCTTGTTTCTAACCACCTCATGGGAGAAATTGGAAAAGGATATGCCATCAAAAGATATCTTTCGTCCACCAGTAGTCTTTTTGAACACCGCAAAAACGACTGTGAATCTCGACCCCTGGATACGTTCAAAAGTTTACTCCCGTCTGGGGAAATGTCCAGATTTATCGTGCTCGTTACGAAGAGATATTTCAAGACTTTTCTGTACCCAAAAATACACCTGAGCCTAAGATTCTGGCGCAACTAGGAAGTTCGTGTACCAAATCAACTTGTGTACTCAAAATCATCGAAAAATGCCAAAGATTCACACCGAAATTGCAGCAGCCATGAACACACGCGGTCTTCCCGGATGTTAATACCTACAGAACATGAAAATATTAAGGACTTTCAAACCCCGCAGCGCCCAAAGGCTTGCCGCGATGTATTCACGGCCAACAGCAATGGGGAGGCCGCAAATGAAGCCTCCTAGTTGATCCATACGCACTTCTAGCTTAGTCAAGGAGACGCGACTGGCTGGTCTTCTGGTCTAGAAACACCCTCTAGCTTGCTAAACAGACATATGAGACCGCAAGAAAGAGTACGCTGGAGATACTCACAAGAAGGAGTGCTACTACAGCCAGCTTGTGTGCCGAGGAAGCTTCTCGCACAAAAGATCTTGCCCTCAACGTTGTATTTTCATACCTACATACATACATCGTGTCTATGTTCTAATGTTCACGCGTCCGAAAGTACGAGAAAAATGACGGGACACAATTAACGACAACTTTCCATGTTCAGCGGAAGATAGTGAGCTCCAACATCATCTTATGCGCAAAAAGAAGTCAGACGTCTAAAGAGATACACGCGGATCTCTCTCATAAACCAGGGACTTGGCAATATCATGCCAAGGAAGAACAAGGATGGCCACCAAGGGGGCAAAGAAGCTATCATCCTCCAGCTGGGCACTATAGCCATGGCTGGGAAGAGCCCAAATAATACCAGACGTGGCCACAAGGCGGCGAAGCGGCCAGGCGCCTTATACGGAAATGACAACAAACAGTCACACAGCATGCTGACAATGGGGCCGTCAACTGGGCTTATGCCTGCGCACTAGTGTCGGGAGCGCAGATTAAGCCACGATGGCATATGCAGCCCTAATCCCAGTGGCCCATTAGCAGACGGCATTAATGGGAATCCGGCAGGATTGCCTCCAAGGACCAAAGGCCGAGCGTTGGCTGATGGGGCCAACGTGTTTGCTGTCACCAGCGCGCTGGTTGAACGGTTTTCCGAGCGTGATATCTACCACGTGTTGATACAAACCTGGTCTGGGCAAATACCTGGTTGCTCCTACACAATAACTACGTTGTATTATCCGTCCAGCCGGATCTTTTCGGACCAAGCACTCACCGTTTATTGTCCTCCATCTCTGCTAGGCCCAGTTCAAAGGCATGATACGCACAGCTTATCACAGAAGAAAACACCCTGGCCTCACCAGCCGAACCAGGAGGACGAAATACAAGCTGGAAAGGCAGCAGAGATGCAGCGCATGAGTCGCAGGGACCGATGACGGCTGGGGCTCAATGGGCGGGCGGGAGGCGGGATGCAAGATGGACATGGGGTCAGCGGAGCGAATGGGGGTCTGAGGTTGAGACGAATAAGAGTGTTTGACTGGCGAATCTGACGTGCATGGGGATGAGCGATCTATGGGCGGCCAGAACCGGGATGGAGAGGTATTTTGGCACCATCGTTGGTGCCATCGAGGGGTTGGCAGGCGGAAGTGGTACGGGATCAACGTGATACCAGCCTGGCGGCGCAGAGTGGCTGGATCTACCCAGCTGCGCGGTCGGGGCCAATTTAGAGGCCCAAAATCCCGCTCTCGTCATTGTGGATGGCACAAAGTGCCTGATGTTTGGAATGAGTGCCCCAGACTTGTTATCGAGGTGCACCTCGTGTGCGAAGAGGGCGAACTTGAACTAGGCAAGGCGATGTATATTCCAGCGCAGCAGCCTCGAAGGACTGCAGGATATACCTTTTGTAACATCAACACCAAATAGGCCAGCAGTGGTAGCTGACACCTCGTAAGTGGAAAACGAAGGCGGCTACTTGCTGGTAGTGGACGAACACAAGATCGTGAAGGTTTTCGTGCAGCGCTGAATGGGTACGTGCAAGTTGTACACGATGCAGCGAGTGCAGCGAATGATGTGGTTAGGGAGCTAGAATGCAACCCATCCGGCGCGCGGGTAGATGAGCTGACCGTTTTGCGGTGTGGAATTCGGGTGACATTCGGGGGACGGTCTGCCGACCTTGTCCAGACGGGTTCGAGGACAACGGCTGGGCTGGCGGTACCTCAAAAGCTGCTGCAGGAGAGTGGCAGGAAGGACTCAGTCTGGTAGTCGACGATTGGACCCCTGGAGACGGGAATTGTTGATGGAGATTGGAGAAGGATGTGGTGTAGCAGACGGTGTGGGTTGATGCTGGTTGAAGCTCGCTGGGTTGGCCAAGGAGTGGCCGATTGGGGCCCTGTGATGCGTTGGCATGGCGTGCCCGCTCTCGTGGACGATGCAGATTGGACGGCGGGTGAGCAGGGGGGCGCTGCGCTGTACGTAGTATGGCAGTGTCTCGAGCGGCGGGCAAGCCGTGAGGTAGTCGGGATGGGGCGCCTCTCTGTTGGTGTATTGGAGCATGTAAAACAACAGGGCCAAAGGCTATGCATGCCAACTCATCAAGGCGGCCGGAAGCAGAGGTG